TTTTTGAAACGTGAGAGAGAGAGAGAGACTTGAGGAGGAAGAAAGAGAGATATGGGAAGTTTTTATTTGGTAAAGATTTTAATGGGATAATTAAGTCAATGATGACTCAATTAAAAAATGCATTATCCTTAATTATAATAGCTACAAAAGGGGAAGGAATTAAGCTTAAAACAAAGAAAATCCTTCTCCCACCTTAAATGAAATTTTAAACGCACTTGGAGAAGAAGAAATCTCGATAGATCGTTTCTCCATGTCGGTTATGCTCGACGTCGATGATCCGGTTAAATGGATAAATAGTTCGGCTTGGAGCGACAAAAATTAAATTAACTAAATTTAAATAATATTTAATAATTATATAAGATATACACAATTAGTATTTATTATAAATACACATAAAGCACATAAATTTCACTTAGGCAATTAACCAATTAAAATATAATATTGATGGCAACAACAACAACAACAACAACAACAATAATAATAATAATAATAATAATAATAATAATAATAATAATAATAATAATAATCCAGTTTTATAAATGAACGGGGCGTTACAAATACCGAAAATAATATATATATAATAAACACAATTAGGCACATAAAAATTATTTAAGCATTTAGACAATTAACAATCAATAATAATAGCCACAGATAATGATAAAAATAATAATAATAATAACAATAATCCAAATTATTCATAAACGAACGGGGCGTCACAGTCTACCCACCTTACAAAGAATTCCGACCTCGGAATTCGAAAACAAAACTAGAAAGCGATAAAAGATACAAAGGAGAACTCAGAACTCGAAGTTCGGATAACGCCTCCTAATACCGTCCTCCCTCTCCCAAGTCGCCTCGGTCTCATCGTGTCGGCTCCACAGCACCTTCACTAAGCTTACTGCCCGGTTTCTCAGCTGATGGACCTTACGATCCAGAATAGCCACCGGCACCTCCTCATAGGTAAGGTCTCGCTCGACCTGAAGCTCGCCGAAGTCCACGACATGATCAGGATTATGCACATACTTCCGAAGAATCGAGACATGGAATACATAGTGCACCCCCGACAAGTCTGGTGGTAAAGCCAGCCGATACGCTAAGTTCCCGACTCGGTCGAGGATCTCGAACGGCCCAATATAGCGGGGTTTGAGCTTTCCTTTCTTCCCGAAGCGAATCACCCCTCGCATGGGTGAAACCTTCAGAAGAACATGATCTCCCACCGCATACTCATGCTCATGCCTCTCCCGGTCGGCATAGACCTTCTGCCTCTCCTGGGCGGACCGGATGGCCTTTCGGATCTCCTCAACGGTTGCGGCAGTACTCTGAACAAAATCCGGCCCAGTAATCCTCCTCTCTCAAACCTCATCCCAATACAAAGGAGTTCGGACCTTACGTCCGTACAGAGCTTCGTACGGGCACATCTTGATCGAAGAGTGGTAGCTGTTGTTGTAGGTCAGCTCGACTAACGGAAGGGCATACTCCCAAGTCAGGCTTCGGTCCAAGACCACAGCCCTCAAGATATCCTCCAAGTACTGGATCACACGCTCCGACTGACCATCCGTCTGGGGGTGAAAGGCTGTACTGAACTCCAACCTCGTCCCCATGGCTCGGTGCAACGTCCTCCAGAACTGGGATGTGAACTTAGCATCTCGATCTGAAACAATCTCCACAGGCACTCCATGAAGCTTGACGATGTCCTTGACGAACAATTCGGCGTAATCACTCGCCTTCATGGTCGTCCGGACAGGCAGAAAATGGGCAGACTTCGTAAGGCGATCCACTATCACCCAAATTGAATCATGCCCGCTCCTAGATCTCGGCAGACCAACCAAAAAGTCCATGGCGATGCAATCCCACTTCCACTGGGGAACCTCCAGAGGCTGAAACAATCCTCTCGGTTTCTGGCGCTCAGCCTTCACTTGCTGACACACCAGGCACCCATCCACAAACTTTGTTGTCTGCCTCTTCATGCCTCGCCACTAGAACGATTTCCTCAGGTCCTGATACATCTTCGTGCTACCAGGATGGATGGTGTACGGGGCACTATGGGCTTCCTTCAAAATCTCTCTCCGCAGTTCCCATACCCTCGGAACACAAAGTCTACCCTCGAAGACCAAGGCTCCATCGGATGCGACTGCGAATCCACCAACTCTACCGGCTGCTGATAACTCCCTCATCCGGCATAGGAAACGGTCATTCGGTTGCTCGGCGACTATCCTCTCTCGAAGAGTCGGTCCCACAACCAAAGAAGCCAACACACTCCCGGTTGAGTAAGTCGACTCCACTGCCTCTAACTGCAAACGCTCGAACTCCCGAAGAAGGACATCCTGCTGGGTGAACACGCAAGACAACTGGCCATGGCTCCTCCGACTAAGGGCGTCGGCCACCACGTTGGCTTTCCCAGGGTGGTAGCTAATGCTGCAGTCGTAGTCCTTGACCAGCTCCAACCACCTACGTTGCCTCATGTTCAGCTCCTTCTGAGTGAAAATGTACTTCAAGCTCTTGTGGTCGGTGAAAATCTCGCACTTGCCTCCA